GGAAGGGAAAGGCAAAAAGCGCTTTGCCTTTCCCTTCCCGAGGCGGCAGGACTGGGGCCGCGCCGGCGGTAGTGACTCCTGACTCAGGGGGCCTCCGAGGGAGGGGAAGAGAGTGACTCCTGCCTCCCGCTGTCATCATCATCTTCTTCTTTTGGGTTAGTGAATCAATTAAACCTTTCATGATAGTGAGATCGTTTCCCAAATTAATTATTTTTATTTTTGAAATTTACCAGTAGCTGCTGCATTTCCCACCCTCGGCTTATACTCGAGTCAATAAGTTTTCCCAGTTTTTTGTGTAAAATTAGGTGCCTCGTCTTATATTCGGGTCGACTTATACTCGAGTATATACGGTATTTGTTAAAACTTCCATTGAATTTGTTTGGTGACAGATAACAGAATTTAATCAATCCACAATGCTCACAAAAATATTAAAAGAAATTACAACCGGATTTATGACCAGAACCCTTCCAGTAGTTAAGACACTTAAGATAAATTAAATAATATTTAGATTTGTGTTAAGCATCGAGGAATGTAAGTTGAGGTGATTATGAGTGTAAGGGGAATTGTATAGAAAACAATACATTTAAATCTTTAAAAGATATTAAAATGTGTAGCAAATGCTTCCTTTGCAAATTTCAGTTAAGACACCTCTAATTTAGAAAAGATCAACCTATGGCACTTCAAACAGTCTAGAAATCCAATTTCCCGAATTCCACATTGTTGTCCATGCTTCACAAAGCTGTTGATCATTGAAATTCCCCACTCCTGATCTAATCTCACTCTTAACAGTGCAACAAAACGAACAGGTCTGGGAATGGGCCTTCCATTGGAGGCTTCACACCGTTGACTCACTCCTCTGTAACGTATTTTCAATCTGTCTTTCCATTACGCCAAACCATTTGCTCCCAATTTGCTGAACCAAAGCACAACCCACACACACTTGTGCACATGCATCAGGCAAGAAGGCGCATGGCATTTGTGCCAAATTCAGCATGAGTTAGGTGTTGACAGATGGTTTCTTTTCTGAAGAGCCTTGGCAGCCACGTCAACCTATTATTGCTTTCTGCATAAGAACCTAATGGGGAGTGGTATTCAGTGGCCTAGAGGTGGAGCTCTTGCCTCACAATCGGGAGGCTGTGAGTTCGATCCTAGGTAGAGGCAAATATTTTTCTCTCTGGGCACACTGAGAATATATCTGCTGGGAGAAAAAAAAACTCCGCACCGGCAACAGGAAGGTCATCCGGCCATTAAAACACTCCGCTAGCTACATTCAGTTGCCCAGACTCCACCCTGCAAGGGATTATGGGGGTCATTAAAAGATGATGATGATGATGATGATGATAAGAAGAACCTGTAACAGGGGTGGGACAATTTATGACCTGCGGACTTCAACTCCCAGAATTCCTGAAACATCATTCTGGGAGTTGAAGTCCTCAGGTCGTAAAGCTGCCGCAGCTGCCCACCCTGGATCCTCAGATGTACTACCTTAAACTGTTTGCCGCAGGTGGAGCAGAGGAAGTCCTTGCGATCTGAATGCCGCAACATGTGAAGTCGCAGTTTGTCGGGCCGACAGAAAGCCTTGTCGCATTCTGTGCACTGGTAAATCTTTTCCGAGTGGAAGCTGCGCACGTGTTTTTTCACCTGGTTGGGAAACAGGAAAAATCCATTTCAAAACTTAACACATAACAATTTTTCCCCATGTTGAAAAGATCTCAATGGAAAGAAAAAAAGAATGTGTAACTTACAAACTGTGTGCCAGGATTCCAGCAATTGCTCTAATTAAATCATGATTCTCGAGACAAACTTCAAAAAACTTCAAAGAATTTATTAAGAGGCGACATACTGGCATTGCCCCATATGAAGCCAACTCTAACGTACGTAACGTAAGTAATTTACAGTTACTGTGACCCTCTCCCCTGGGTGTCTCATAAACCAGATTCTGCAATTGAGCACATTCACAGGCTGGGTGTCATCATTCACGTTCTCCAATTAAATATATTCGGGGGCAAAATCTCTGGCATTTTAGTTACAATCTTTTAAAGCTAAGAGTTGGAATGTGCTTTCGCTTTCAACAGCTCTTCCAGATTTCCTTCCTCCCCCCCCCCCCTTTTTTTTATGGCAACTACTAAAACAGGCATAGGAATGTTTTATGAGTTGACACTGTGATCTTATGGCAGATTCCAGTTATAAAGGAACGAATCGCACGGAACGGCAACCATAAATGACTTTATGGTTGATCCTCCACCACAAACTCACCTGGATAAAATCCGGAAAGCGTTTTTTGCAGGTAGGACAAGTGAAGCAGCCATCATTAATGTGGATGGCCACGTGATCTTTCAGCAAGTCTAAACGGTCAAAGGACTCGGGGCAGAAAATGCAAGAGTAGGTCTTCTGATCCAGGTGGAACTTCATATGACTTTCCAGGGCGCTGCTATTAATGAAGCCTTTATTGCAGATATCACAGGTCAAAGGACAATTTCCTTCCCGTCCATGGAACCTTAAATGCTGGTCTAATTTGTCCTTGTCACGGAACGCCTTCCCACAATGCAGGCATTTGAACGGACGGAATGACTTCCGGATGAATAAGTGCTGGAGGGCTGCATTCTGAAACGATACATCCAAGAACGGGATAGGTTAACCAGCCAGGATACTGAGGAGATTACATGGTAACAAAGACCTGTAAACCATCTGTCTGTGGTGTAAAGAGAAGAAAGTCGATAGATTTGCCCAAAGATACATCTGCAATATCCAAAAAATAATTGCAAGATGACTATACTGCATGACTGAACACTTGGACTCTAGTTTTTTGGGGGGGAAAGTAAAGAAAGACACTTTAAATAAGGAAGGAATAGTTTAGTTTAGTTTACTTTATTGCCACTGCACCTCGTACAATGAAATTAAATAACATCTTCAGTGTACATTATGACTATGAAAATAAACACAAACATACATCTTTCACATTCTGTACATTGAATTGAAAACCCCTGATATTGCATTAATATTGCACTATACAGTAGAATTCAATAGAGTTACTGCCCTGGGATAGAAGCTGTTTTTTAGCCTATTTGTCCTTATTTTTATTATCTTGTACCGTCTGCCAGATGGTAATAGTCCAAAAAAAGGGGTGCCCAGGATGAGATGGATCTTTGAGAATAGAACATTGGGCAACTGTTTGGATTCTTAACATTGTTTCCCTTTATGAAAAAGGATGCTTCCCCTTAAATGTACAAAAATATGCTCAAATTTGCAGAACCCTGTTTTTCACTCAGAACAGGAAAGCAAAACCAAAGACTGTATAGTATCACTTATGGACGTATTTATTTATTCATTCGTTTGTTCATTTTATTAAATTTATATGCCACCCATCTCGCTGTCAAATATTAGAAAGTAATAATGATTCTAGAATATGACCTTCAAATATTCTTCTTATGGAACTTCATTGTTA